CTATTTATTTATTTATTTTTTGCTACACTGCCCACCATGTCCCCAAACACTGAGAACTATCCTAACAACCAGGCATTAAAAACAACAACAAAATCCTATTAGTTATTGTTACCTGTACCTTAACCTATAAGGGTAAGTTCAAATCCTGTAGGAAATGGTACTTTCAATTTATTGAGTGCCTAATATAGGTAGTACATGAACAATCTCAGTATTCGACAGGGGTATTATGACTAACATATGAGGAAGCCTGGATGTAAGGTGAGGAGTGGGTTCTTGATCTGAAATGTGTTTTTTCCTGCACCTAAAGCATTTGTCCTTACCTTTTCTATTACCTCACATATTTTCTAAAGCACTGCTGTGCCATTAAGCAATGCAACCCCTATAGGCATTGTTGGAATGAGGTCATTACTTCAGGCCAGTGGAAAAACATAATGGACTTCTAGCAGGCTATTTGTTGTTATAAAGCAAAATCAAACTGATTACACTTCCAAAGGGGTATAATATCATGGAGACAAGACCATTATGAAGCCAGAAACTTGAGAAAATCATCTAAAAGCTCATAAGCATATGTAAACTCATGACTAAAAAACGCTGCACTGTTATGCAATGTCAGTGTCAGGGGAACAAGTTTCCAATCTCATGACTCATGCTTCTGTATTACACATATCACTGGGTGTTTCTTTCATTTTAAAGAAATGTGAACATTTTAAAGGAATGTGTATAAAAATATCTGATATTCAAAACATGAGAACACAACAGCTATTAGGCTAAAAATCTAAGCTGACACAGAGCCACTTTTTGAAGATGGAAAGTTACTTCACCTTTTGAAAAGTATGGCCGGAGAGGCAACTTCCTGCCGGAGACCAGCTCAGTGCCACTGTCTCTTCCCTTAGTACTGGTTCTTGAACCGCCCAGACAGGGAAGGAGAACTGTCCTGAGAAGAGGCCGTAAAAAGAATTCCTCCCGCATTTGCACCTACTTTGCCTCTCCTTTGACTTAAGGCAAGCATGCCAGTGGGTTCCTCCTGATCTCCCTCACCCGCTCATAAGTCCTCGAGGGTGACCTGCGAACCAACGCAGACCAAAAAGTAGCTCAAACCGACCCACCAGTACCTGCTCTAGAGGTCTCCGGCAAGCCTTTGCGACTACATAGCTCTCTCGACCACACGAGTTTCACCGACTTTATTGGCCCCGGACCCCGGCGGGCTCCTCACAGCCCACCTCCCCACTAGTTCACACCGGGCCTCCAAGACATCCAACATATTCAAAAACACTGCGGGGTGGCTATTAAAGGAGACTCTTCTCAGGAAGCCAGCTCCCCTGTGACGGCATCAGGGTCACTTGCTCTTCGCCTTCTGACTCTCCGTCTTTTTGGGCAGCAGCACGGCCTGGATGTTGGGCAGGACGCCGCCCTGTGCGATGGTCACTTTCCCCAGCAGCTTGTTTAGCTCCTCGTCGTTGCGGATGGCGAGCTGCAAGTGGCGAGGGATTATCCTGGTCTTCTTGTTGTCACGCGCGGCGTTGCCAGCCAACTCCAGGATCTCCGCGGTCAGGTACTCCAGCACCGCCGCCAGGTACACCGGCGCCCCAGCTCCTACTCGCTCCGCGTAGTTACCTTTGCGCAGCAGTCTGTGCACTCGGCCCACCGGGAACTGCAGGCCCGCACGGGAGGACCGGGACTTGGCCTTTGCCCGCACTTTGCCGCCCTGCTTTCCGCGACCAGACATCTTCACCTCTGGCCTAAAACTGTAGCGAGTGAGAAACAGTCAGCGGTCCGGGTATAGGAACGCAATGCACCACGCCGGAACTGCCTCTTCCAACACTTTGCTGCCACTAGACAGCGCCTTCCCATTGGACGCCGCAAAATCCTCGGCTTCGGTAACTAATGATTGGCAAGCTCTGCTCCCAATTAGCGCACTGATAGAAGGACCGCCTTCTCCAGCTTTCTCCAATCAAAAGAGCAAACTTCTAGTTCATTTACATATCTGCCGGTACGACTCCTCTGCGTTTGGGGGCGTCTTTGAATTTATTGGACCCTAAGGTTTCGACGTCCACGTTCGCTCCCAGGAAAATAAAGTCTTAAGAATGAAGGAATCGTGGTTAGAAACAGATCTGGAAGAAGAGCGGCTTCGTTTCCACAAGTACAAAAAGTTAAAGGAAGAAATGTCCCTTGAGGTCGCTCACGGTGTGCCAGACGACGCTGTGTCCTCTAGCCGGATTTTCTTACGTAAAACAGCGTCCTATCCAGGTAGTTATCTAACTCCAGAGCCCACGCTTGTGGGCTACACTGCTCCTCAAGAGAAATTACAAACTCCCTACTGAATTCTGCCTGCCCGGTACAGGGTGTGTTGCCTATTCCTTTAAGCAAATGCCTTGCCTCCTGCAAACCCAGAAGCTCCTGCTGATGACTACTCAACAGTGTGAGAAGCTGTCTCCAAGAGTCTTTTCTTATGGAGCTGGCCCTCTGAACTTTAGACCAGATGACACTGGACTTCCCGCAAAGCTCTGCGGCTCACAGGCTGCCAATCTTGGATCCTAAGGGATGTGAAACTAGAGTGCTAGGCTATACGTGAATGCTTTCTTCACAGAAGACAGGAATAAGCTCACTTATAAGGCCAAAACTTAACATCTTATGTCTTTGAAGTTATGAGCCTAAAGAGAGCCTCCGGATTCCAGGAGACCCTGCAGGCTCAGCTCAGTTGCTAAGACTGAAAGTCTTAGCCTTGGCTTTAGCCTAGTTGGTCATGGGCTTCTGGGATCATATTCTCCAGGAAGCCTGTGAGCGACTCCTTGTAGACGAGCCCAAAGGTAGATATGACCATGTAAGACATTCTGGTGGCGCTCAGAGGAAGAAAGAACGGCAGCAATTGTCTTTACAGAGCCATAGCATTCGGAACACAATCATTTTTTTTTTTTAAATTAGAAATTACTATTTCACTGAAGTAATTTCGTTTACTTCAACATTTTTCATAATTATACATTTACATGGCTATGTGGTGTAATGTGAAACACTTACTAATATAAATAACATTTTATGTGGATTATAGTATCCACTTAAAAGTAAAGCAAATTTACCATCTCATCAGCCTAATTATGATTTTATTTTACTGAAATAATGTTTTCAATCACTTATGTGTATGTCCTTACTGCCTACCACAATAATTAACTTACCTATAGTCAGGACTCGATAAATGTCTATGAAGATGAGAAGTAGTACATTGTCATGAATAAGTTGGTCATCCTGGATCCAGACTGCTCCAGCCAAATCCTAGCTCTACCACTTACCAGCTGACCTTGGATAAGATATTGAACTTCTGTACCTATCTCAAAGTGTTTTGAAGATGAAACATGTTAGTAAGCATCCAGTAACTGTTAGATAAACTGAATAAATGGACAAACAAATCTATTATGCAGTTTTTAACAAGATGTTCCTGGCACAAGTTCCGTAAATTTAGCTTAAATGTTTGCCTATATCGTGGGAAAATTTAAACAGATTATTATTACTGGCACTATTTTTCTTTTTGTTCTTGTAAGCAAGAGAAATTTCTGACCTGAAAATGTTCTAGCCTTGATTTCTTAGTCATGGTAAATATAAAAGAATGAATCTATCTTACTATTGCAATAATCCTGATCCTTCAAGATCTGATAGACTTTTCTTCCCTCTGAGTCAAGGATTAAAATCACATGGTACAACTTGACTATTCAGGATTTTTTTCAGCCATCTAGTGTTCCACGGGCTTTTTAAATTCCTCTTTAACAACAACAAAATTACTTTTTGTGTTATGGAGATGGGTAAGTTATAAACATTTAGATAAATATTACCACAAAGCTTTCCTACTGGAAAGACTTATTCTTCAACTAGGGACAGTTTACTAAACTATTTACTAAATAATTTACTAGAATTTTCGTTCCTCATGATGTTAAGTACCTGGGGAAAGGTTTTAAATCATCCTTTAAATACGGCTGCCTTTTATCTCAAACCTTTTTGGGAAGACAGAAAGAGTTTTGTCTCATAGAACGGTGACACTACCCACTTTAGTTTTTGTTTAGGTCTTAAGATTCAGAGCCTCCTACTTGGGGATTTGTAATATAAATCACTGTTTAAAGCCACAAGCATGGCATCCATTATTTTGCAAGAACTTTGAATTTTTAAGTGGACATGAGAACTTTGGATTTCAATGAAATAAGTAGTTTACAGTATTTTAAATAAACATAGAAAATGTTATTTGATTAAAAAAAAAAATAACGCACTTGTGGCGAGGGAGCAGAGAAGGCAGGAAAATCTGCAAATTGCACAGAAGCTGCAAAGGAAAAGACCGGAGGGGAAGAGGGCAAAATTAGACCTTTGAAAATAATTTTAAGTCTTTCTCTGCGGGGCCACAAAAGAGAAAAGAGAACCATTAAAAATTTCCTTTTTTTCTCCACTAACAACTCAAAAAGATCCACAGGTTAAAAGCTATAAAGCAATTGCTCTGAAATCTAACAAGATGTAAAGCATTGTTAGTTTCTATTGATATTCACATTAGTCTGGGAATGGTTATTATAAGAGTAAACATTCAGTTTGAAAAATATAGAAGTAGAATTCTAGCACATGTGAGAGACAAGGGAAGGCTGGGAAGTGGGAGACAGAGAGAGGGATGGAAGGAAGGATCCCGAGAGCACAAAGAATCTGGCCTGTTTTAAGCATTGAGAAAAGGCAATGTAAATTCTATTGAGTCTTTCCTCAATTTTATGGCAAAAATAACAAAAACCTTCCCCCCAAAAGCAAACAAAAAGATATCAGTCCTGTTCTGCTTCCTGCTTACTGGACTCACTATTGTAGGGAGGGGGAAAAAAGCCTCCCAGGGCCTAGAACTCCACCCACTTTTTTGAGGTTTTCAAACACGTCCCCTACAAGGAACTACAAAAGCTGCTCTCTTTCCTGTCCAGTTGAGACACTACCGCAAGGATGCCTAGTCCAGGTAAAAGTGGCAAAGGGCTGAGTAAGAGAAGCACCAAGCCCCACTGGAAGGTCTTACTGAAAAATGTCCAGGGCATTACGAAACCTGCCATTCGCCATCTAGCCCACCGAAGTTTTGTCAAGCGCATCTCTGGGCTCGTCTATGAGGAGACCAAGGGAGTGCTCGAAGTGTCTGGAGAATGTGATCCGCGATGCGGTGACTTACGTGGAGCACGCCAGATGCAAGCCTCTCACTGCCATGGATGTGGTGTATGCGCTGAAATGCCAGGGCTGCACGCAGCTTCGCTGGCTGAGCTGTCCCTGCGGCTTACATCTAGACTCCAAAAGGCCTTTTCTACGCCTCTCCCCGCCTCATGTCCCGCCCCTCGGAAAAAAAGTAAAGAGTTTTTTAATACGATCTACTGTGTGACTGTTGGATCTAAACGCAGATAGTTGCTTTTGATGAAGCGTTCCAGATGCCATGAAATGTAATAAGCTTTGCCGTCGAAGTAACTGCTATAGCGGTGGCTCCTGGTTATCCGCGTAATGTTTGGGGCTTGGGAGGAGAAGAGGCGTGAAGACTCGATCTCTGAGTAGGGACCCCAGCACCGCCTGGGGCGCTTGGGGGAAGGAAGCGTCTCTACAAAACACATGTTTTAGTAGTGGCAGACAGCTTCTAAGCTGCTGAGGCCTCTGACTTTGAACTTATTTAGAGTGGCTTCTATGTAAATCAGGCTAGCAGACATTCAGCCTCGGATTGGATGCGAGGGCCACGCGTCAGAGGGGCGGTTCTTCACCAGTGCTGCACCAGGCCTGACCTCATACAGCTAGGGATGTCGCAGCGTCCTACAGGAAAGCGCTGCGGCGGGCAGATCAGAAAGCGCCAAATGCGGTCCTAGTGTGGCGCGCTGGAGTATTGCTGTGTGTGAATATTTTATTTCTTCCCTGACGTTTTGAATAAGAGGTGACCAAGTTCAGATGCTGAATACATAAGGTGGCAAAGTGCGGGCAAAGTCCAAGGCCAAGTCAAGCTCGTGGCCCCTGCACTACTCTTGGACCATCCGCACAAATTTAGCAGCGCGGATCAGGTGAGCATCCAGATCAGAGTATCGGGTGGCAGTGCTGGAACCCAGACCTCAGAAATGCAGGAGTTATTCCACAGTGCGCGTAGGGGCACAGGGCAGCGTCCAGGGGAACAGGGCAGCGTCCGGCCAAATATTCAAGCCCAACTTTTGCTCAGGAGACTGTGTCCTGTGATCCAGTCACAACCAGGCTGTGAGCCCTAGGTCCTCAGTAAAGGCCTTTTACAGAGAAGACGGGCTGGGCTGTGGGAGGTCGGTGGGCTGCGGTTGGGTTCTAGTAAGTTGTAGTAAGTGTGGGCCAGAGAGCTGTAGAGTCGTGGGGTCCTACCCGGTGATCCCACTGTGCGGCCAGGCAAAGTGCAGCGCAGGGGAGCCCTGTTTGAGGGCATTTTCCAGAGGCAACTGTAGGGGCTGGAGACCGGGGGACCCACCTACGTGCAGTCTGGCTGAGGCTGTTAGGGAGAGGAGGCAGAACCTAAATCGGTTTGATGGCCTTGCCCTACTCTTGGCTTTGTCACTCCTAACTAACCTGTTTATTTGAGGGATGAGGAAGGAGTTTAAGACCCCCAAATGTGGTGTGATCCTATGCGGCCTTGATAAGGTCATAGTGCAAGGCATTACTCACAAGTTTGTGGGGATGCTGGTGTAAACAAACCTACTGCACTTCCAGTCATATAAAAGTATAGAACATATAATTATGTACAGTACATAGTATGATAATGATAATAAATGACCATGATACTGGTTTCTGTATTTACTATGTTATACTTTTATATCATTTTAGAGTATATTCTTTCTATGTATTTTTTAAAAAACTTGTAAAACAGTATGTTGTGTTATGCCATCAGCAGCCTCGTACACCTAGTGTTTACCACCTCTTTTGACAGCATCATTTTCTCTTGTGCGTGATTTAATCTCCTGTTTTGCATAGTAACATGCTCTGTAGGCTTGTAGCCTCGGAGCAATAAGCTATGCCATGTAGCCTAGGTGTATAGTAGGCTATTCCATCAAGGTTTGTTTAAGTGCACTCTAAAATATTTGCGCATCGACAAAATTGCCTACAGACACATTTCACAGTGAATGACTGTATTATTAATTACCATTTTACTGGTGAGGAAACAGATGGGGCCGGGGGAGGGGGGCGCAGTGAAAGAACTGGAGCCAGGATTTGAACCCAACCCTGTTGGATCCCGTACTCTTTGACCTTAAACCTTATGTGCCACTGCTTCTGCCATGGAGGCTTCTTGTCCCTATTTGCTGACATTTCACGTCCTAGTACTTTCTCCTACTCCATAAAGAGTCAAGTGTATTCATGAGGCTGGTGTTAACTTTCTAGGGCAGCGAGACAGTCCCAGAAACTCAATTTTTCTTTCATGCAAGTGAAAAATAACGAGTTACTTAAAAGAAGCAGCAGAGTCTGGCATACTTCTGTGCCTTTATATTTGTTGAGTGTGAATGAGTAAATTTGAGTAGGTGGATAATGTAGCATTAGCCAAATTATTGAGGATGAAGGATGAAAGTTAGAAACCCAATGAATCATGGAGATAAGCATTCATATGACAATTTAAAATATTTATTTCTTAAGTATTTAACTTAACCTGGAATTGTTTATTTTTTGGTTGTAATTTTGGTAACGGCCTCAATTCTTTTTACTTGTGTAACAGAACTTATATTTTATCTTATAGCATAGCTATTTTTGTTCACGTCTGATGCTCTTTATAAAATATAACCAAATTATTTGAGCACAGGAAATAGTTATTTTTGTCTGTAATTATGAGTCCCATGGTAGTACCCAGATCTGAAGATATTGTATTTTCCAAACCAAAACTGGGTCACATGAGTTAACACAACAGAATATCTGAAATTGGAACTGAGAATTTCTGAAGTCGACTAATAAAATGCCTTATTACAAATGTCTGTTAAATAAAAAAATAAAATAAAGCTTCTTTATAATGCCTCTCTTACAATGTGAAAGAAGGCCGTTAAAATTAGATCCTGTAGCAAAGTCATCTCTTCTGATTTTGAATATTTAATGCCTCTATTGGTCCAAATACTGTTAATTTTTGAAGATTCAGAGATAAATAAGCACACTCTCTCCTATCAAGAAGCTTCTGTTTCCAAGTAAAAAGAGAGGGAGGGGAAATACATCCATATAGCTGTACACGTGTGGTTTGTTTTAATAGAATGGTATGAATGAAATGCTATTGGTTTATAGAATGAATTTCGTCAGGCTAAGGGGTATCTTTGAGGATCAGGTAACATTTGTTCTGAGCTGAAGGCCCTTTGGAAAAGGGGAAGACCACACCAGGCTTGGGCAGCAAACAGTGCAAACAAATACCAGAGTAGTTTCAAGGCATGGTGTGTTTGAGGAACCTCCTAATGTTGGAGATGTAATTTGTCCTGTTGCCCTAGAATAATACAATGGACTAGGTAAACAGTTGGATAAAAATTGAAACCGAATCCAAGGAAGTCAAGAAAAACAGGCAAAATACAGTGGAAAAACATGGCCAATAAGCACAGGAAGAGATGTGAAGTTTGATTCATCATCAGGGAGTTGCAAATCAAGATCACAGTGAAATGCAATTTTTCACTTACTAATCGGTAAGAATTTAAAAGAGACAATAACAGGTGTTGCATAGAATCTCCTACATTGCTAGTGGGAGTATATTTTGGAGCAACTGTTTTTGGAAAAAATGTGGTTGTTATCTTGTGAGCCTGAAAATAGATTTTCATATATGTTGAACCAGCAATTCTACTCCTGAGTACCAGGACACATGATCACTAGAGGTCTTAGTAGGACTGTTCATAGTAGCAAAGAAACAAAGAAACCAAATGCACATTTATAAGAGAGTGGATGAATAAATTATGGTGAAATATAATTTGGCAGTCAAAATGAACTGATAAATATGAGTTTGTGGTGGTCCACATCTAGTGCTGTTTGTTTTTCTGCTGACACATATGAAGACTTGTGTCTTCATGTATTTGGCAGATTTTTATTCTGAACTAATGTATGATTGATCATCTGTGGGAGTCCTGAGAAACTAAATGAGCATGCTGCCCTCCAGAGAGAATTATAATTTGCTTCTGCTTGCCAGCTGCTATTGAATTGTGACCTTTTTAGTCTCCTTTGAGTGTCCCAGCTTGGTGGAAGAGTCTCAGATTCTACTTTTGTGCCTCCTTACAGGAGGTCCAAGATTTGTTCTCCATTGCAACCCTAGAGTTGATGCTTGCTTACCCTTCACCTTCAGTTGTTACTTCATGTTCTTTTATTTTTTATTTTTTGCCTTTTGGAAATGTTCCTATTTTCTTGTGACTACAATAATGCAACATTTGTGCTAGAAGCTTCATTCAGATAGTGTAGTTTGTCATACTGCTGGAAATGGATTTCACTAACTGTATAACATTTCATTTTATATGTCTTCCCTGAATCGTCTGTGAACTCCTTGAAAGCAAGACTCTGATTCATATTTGTACCCCTGGAACCTCTGACCAATAATTTTGAATACCCATAGGCATTTGTTAATGTTTAGGGACAATTATCTACCTATTTGACAAATATAGTAAGATGTATTGAAATAATAAATTGAGGTCTTTTTCATATATTTTTATTTTCTGAAAAGATTATATACTATACCAATGGAAAAAAAAGCTAATACTAAAAGGAGATATATTGTATATTTCCACTTGTGTAACATTTTTGAAATAACAAATGTGTAGAAATTGAGAACATGTCAGTGGTTGCTAAGGGTTAGTATGGGGTAGGGGTGGGGTGGCAGGTGGGAAGTGAGTATTGCTATAAAAGGACAACATAAGGGATCTTTGTTGTGATGGAAATGTTCTGTACCTTGACTGCATCAGTGTCAATATCCTGGTTGTGATATGTACTATAGTTTTGCAAGATATTACTATTGGATAAACTAGGTAACAGGTATATAGGATCTCTCAATATTATTTCTTACAACTGCATGTGACTCTTCAATTATCTCAAAATAAAAGGTCTAATTGAAAAAAAAATAATAAAATTAGAATGATTTTTCAAAATGTTCCAGATTAGGAGTGCTCCTAAGACACCAGGTGGAAGCAAATGCAAAACAATCTCCAAGTTAACACTCTTTATACATAGGCCTCAGAAAAGTCCGAGATAAAATCTCCCCCACACACCACACATGCAAAAAAGATACCAAAAAAAAAATCACTAACTAACCTCACAAGAAGACAAACCACATAAACAAGTGTCAGAAGAAACAAACGGCAGAATCAGGCCATGAAGTTTGCAGATACTAGATTTAGCAGTTATAGAACAACGCGGTTAAGCAAATTTATTATGTTTAAAAAATTAAAATGGGGT